CTAAATCAAGATCCAATTACCCTTAATCCAAGTAGATCATGTCAAAATTTCATAACATAGAGTTCACCAAAAAAACAAAAGAAGTGAAACCCAACTACTGTGATTAACAAACAAACCCAAGAAGATTACTTGAACAGGGGCAGCAAAAAAACCTGACATTACTGCAAAAAATCAGTGGGTTTCTTGTGTATATGCCAACAATTTTTCATCTGCACCAAGGATGCAAACGCAGCAACAGCAGCAGCCAGAAAAAAAAAATGAAAAGGAAAAAGCAGAAGCAAGCAGTGCAGCTACACTACCAGAGCCAGCATTTTGCATTCTATCTGTGTTTACTATAGCCGCTCCATTCTATCTGTGTTTACTATAGCCGCTCCATTCTCGTTCTCTAGACCCCTTTGAGTGCCGTGGCTCATCTTCCCTCTCAGCCATTGGTGAAAGCGATGATTCATACCTTGAAGGCTTCCTCTTGAAATGCCGCTCATCGTCGCTAGACTCATAATCTATCGCACTGCTACTACTCTTCTTTACACCGGTGGAAACAGCCTTGGCAGCAGCAGCAGAGGATGATGACTTATGTTCATCGTAGTAACCATTGGAAGCTGCCTTGTCATGAGCAGAAGAAGATGCAGGTTCAGAGGACAGCTTGCGTCTCTTATTGGCCTCTTCCTCGGGGAAACATATGCAAGAGAAGACACTCCCCTTATGCTTTTTGCCTGCGGCAGTTGTTGTTGGAGATACAGAAGCGGCTTTAGTGGCTGCTTCAATCCTGGGCTTTGCAGAGGTCTTTGAGCGGTGGTGATGGTGGTGGCAGTCACAGTCTTTCTCACGGTCATCGTAATCATATCAAATTTTGTGATGCAAAATGATAGCTCATGTGATATATAGTTCAATTTTTTTCGGGTTAAGCCGAAGAAGGAAGGGCTAGGCAAGAATGATGAATTGCAGCGGTAGAATCGACGGAGATGATGAATTGCAGCAGCATAATGGGGTTAAAGCAGTGGGTGTTGGGGATTAAGCCACTGGCGTGGGATTGCATTTGAAAAATTGGAGGAATTGGAGGAATCAATGGAGATGGAGATGGAGATGGAGATGATTGCAGAAGAAGTGAAAAAAAGCAGGGGTCACCGTCGACGGAGAAGATGAATTGTAGTGGAATCAGAGGATTTGGAGGAGTCGATGGAGATGAGAGGCGATGGAGAAGGAATCAGAGATAAAGATGGAGATGATTGCAGAAGAGGCAAAGGCAAAGGGGAAGGGCTGGGATTAAGAGAACGACGTTGTTTTAGATTGGGACTCCAAATTTTTTTTGGGAGGTAGGACTGATGGCCACTTTACCGATATATATATAGATATTTGTTTTAACTCTTTTAGAAATAATTATTAATTGTTAGTTTTAATTAAATGATTTAAATATTATAAATTATCAATAACAATGATTTTTAATCATTAAATATTAATTTTTAATTATTAGCTGTGATGAGTTGAATTTGTATACATATTAATGTGAAATTGTTGCCTTGATATTATTGATATTTGAATGAGTTTTATGAGATTTTACTGAGTTTTATGAGATTTACATGATTTTCATTCTTTGTGCAGAAAAAGACTTGAATGCATAAAAGAAGAGTTTTGGAGATTAATTGAACACTTTTGAAAGTTTAGGGACTGAATTGCAAGAAGAAAGGCACTTCTTTGGGACCTTAATGAATGAATCTTGAGTTTTGGGATCTAAGTACTCATTGTACAAAAGCTGGAGGAGAGATCTACCATTTTACCATTGAAGAAATTGCAAAAGGAAGCCAGAAACTCGACCCAAGTGTAGTGTCGACACATAATCGGGGTATCGACACCATGCAGCAATAGTCCAGAATCATACTTTCTATTTCTTATTTTGTGTTGACATATAATTTGGCGTGTCAACACCATAAGTTCAGTGTCCAACATTCAAGTTTACTATTCTATTTCAATTTTTACGTCTATTTTAATTAGGGTTTTTAAAACCTTAAAAATATCCATCCAAATTCAGAATTAAAAGAGCTTGGTGGAGGCTGGTGGCAGCCCTCATTTGGGCATTATTGGAGACCAAGATAGAGGTTCCATCAATAATAAAAGATCAAGGAGTTTGATTTCCTCAAATTGAGTTTTGTTTTTCCTTGCATTTTTATCTATTGTTTGATATTTGAATGTTCACAACTATAATTTCAGATTTTATTATTTTTATTATGAACTAATTTATTCTACTATGACTAAAATGTAGCCTAATTAATTCAATATAGATTTTGTGATTTTGTGATTTTATGCTTTCAATTAAAGTTATTCGCATGAGAAGTTTGTATTATTAAATTTAATGCATTGGAAGCTTGATCACATTTCAATTGATATGGTGATTTATGCATGAACTTGAGAAAGAATTATGTAAATTAGATCAATAATAATATAAATCATGTGCTAGACTATGAGATCGAGAGATAATTAGCTCACATGTAGTAGTGGAGAAAGAGAAGAGAGTTAGGATCTCCCCCTTCTTAAGCTAGTGGTTTTCGTAGAATTTAATGTTTATTAATTTGTTTAAAATTACATAAAAATATGATTAATTTAATAAACAAGTGAAATATTAACTTGACTTGAGAAACTAGTTAATTAATTTAGTAAAATTCACCATCACATGTAATAACACTCAATAAATTAGAATTTATATTGATTGATTATGGTGAAATGAATGCATTAATACCTCCTATTTTGATTCGGTTTATTTGTTATTTTCTTTTTATTATTTTTAATTAAAGTTTTTTCCTATTTAATTGTTCAAATAAATTTAAATTAATTATTTTGTCTCATCATTATATTACTTGGAACGACTAGTCCACTTGTTAGCTTGATTTTAGTGCATCAAGTTGTATCAAAAATAAATCTAAACAATCTCTTATATTTTTATTAAATCTCTTAGTATTTAAAATCACATTATATTTTAATTAATTTAAAATTAAATTTAATTGAATTTGAAATTAAGATCTTATAAGGTGAATAAGTTATTGCTTTTTTTTTTTTTGGGTACCATCATGGGGAAAAAAGAATTAAAAATTCCCAATTTTGATGTGTATCAATGATTTTTTGTTTAATACTTTAGGTGTTTAGAAAAAGTTTGTTTAATATTTCGATATTGAGTTTACACTATACCATATTATTGCTTTGTTTCAAAAGTTTTTAATGCTCCATTCGTTTATTTTTAATAGTTTTATTTTA